ATCCCTTGGTTATTGACAAATAACTAGGTCTGTCGAGTTTTTTACCTTACTAACGAAAAAATGCATCTGGGAAAGAAGAGAAAAACCGGATAAAATCGTACAAGAGAACATATTATTTGAGCGTCCCTCCTGGGAAAGAGTTAAAAAATATGCTGTCTTGTAGAGAATTTTGCGCTGACCACGAATATCAGTATAGTAACTACCCTCATTACAATTTGAAAAAAATTGAAATTTCACGTTTGTTCGTTTTGGCTACTCTCTGCTGCTATAAATCACTCTTGTCAGACCGATCTTTCTGTTGAAATGAGAAAAAAATGAAGATTCCAAACTAAATTTGGCGTCGTATTTAGTAGTTAAAGAATGACCTTTCTGTACTAAATAGTGGTATGAAACTGATCGTAGGTATCTAAGTAATGAGCGTACTTATTTTGAATCTTTTCTATTTTTTGTGATTGTTAACTGACATCCAGTAGTAGAGAGTACCTGAAATGAAGAAACGTGAAAGGATACCGCCGGTTTGATTTGATCTGATAGGGCAAAGTAGAGAAGGAGAAGACGTATATGTCTGGATAGTTTTTAGAGTTTGCTGCAGTATGGTTGTTGAGAAAACTAAAAAGATCGATGGATACCGATGTGATACCTAGATAATAAAAAAATGTTTTCTGAATAATCTTCCAACTTTCTGTAAAACGCTTTTCACCGCCGTTTTATCTTCTTTATATGGTTTACCAACATTTTTTCCGATATCAAATGCTCTATAAGCATCAGCAGAAAACAGACCATTCAGTTTTGGCATTATATATTCTTCTGCTTGCAAAATACCATGAGTAGCTTGTTCAAGTGGTGGACATTCGTTAGCAATTTTCTTATGATGTCTGTAAAAAGAAAAACTTAGTGTTAGAATAATAAGAATATAAATTTGGTACTCACATTAGTGTATTTTCAAATTCTGTTGTATTGTGTATACGTTTAATCATCGACTCGAGTTGAAGAAAGAATGGATGACGTTGTGGTATTGCTTGAGTGACTGGTGCATCACGTTTTGCATATTCATCACAAAATGCTTTAGCTTGTTGTTGTACTACAATAGCCGGAGAAAAAAAACAAATTAATCTACGATTTTTGCAGTTCATCTGCAAAGATCAAGGTCGTATGTTCGATTCTCGTTTCGTGTAAGGGTTGATTTTGTGTTTTGACAGTTTAAGTTTCACAATAATATATTGGGAATTTATATTCTCAATTTCGTTTTAGATCAAGATTAAAGTTTAAAGCAATTCACAATGATTTCTAACCTTTGAAAGCTTCTTCAACAGCTTTTAATGCCCCACCGCCATCATTTTTATCCAATAAACTTAGAGCTTGATATGCACGTGCCTTAAAAATGAAAAGTATCGATCTTCAATTTGAACAAGGGAACAGCTTCAACTGCATCATATATTAATAATTTACTTCAGCAAGATAAAATTTAGCTTTCAACTGAAAATACATTCTCCATTTACAGACGATTTTATCATCGAATGTTGTTAGTTGTTGACCTATATTAACGAATAAATATGAATTTATAACAAAATTCAAAATACTCTAGACTAACCGCCGATGTCAAAATATTGCGATATCTGATTTGCGATACTTGATATAAGTGCATTATCTTGTTTCGAATTTATTACTCGAGCAACAGTAACTAAAAGATAAATATATTTAGAAAAAATCGAAGAAAACAAGATTTTCAAAATAAACCTTCGTGAAATTCAGCAAATGATTGATAATAATATGCTACAAGAATTTTATCATTTAAATCTGAACACGGTGAAAGTTTAACATTTGTCAGTTTTCGCAATTCAATATCCTAAAAAATTAACCAAGAAAAAATATTGTTCAATAGTAATAACTAGATGATTATCATACCAAAACGTGTTTGAAGATACCAGACGATATTTTTATCGATTTATGTATATCGAGTGCATCTTTATCGCTTGACCTAAAGAAAATTATCCAAATTTAATGAAAGATATTTTATATGAGATTAATAATAAACATTATTCTATTTATGAGAATAATAAAAAATAGAGATATAGTAAAAGAAGAAAGCAAATCATCAGCAACTGATCTTATACTAAACAATAAATATTATACAGCCAACCATCATGGCTCGTGATATGTATTTGAAGAAGAGAAAAATAAAATGAACATCGATCACAATGAAAAATCATCATACTGCTGCTTTTAATAACATCAGTCATAAATTTTTTGTTTTTCAATGAACAGTCATTTCTATTAGAATATTTATTTATACATTTATGATTGTTATTGAGAGTTAGGAACTTCTAAAAGATAAGTTATCTATTGACAAATTAAATATGTTCTTGTTTTATATTGGTTTACCTCTATTATTGTTTCAATCCTATCGTGGCATCTCAATTCGATCGATCTTAATTTTTTACCGTAGGCGAAAATACTCAGTGTCGTAGTCTCTCAGATACACTAAACTAAGCTCTCAAAGCCTGTACTAGAAGTTTTTTGAAAAAATCCTTTTATTGTAAGTTTCCTTAAAGTTTACAGAATTTTATTTAACATCTATTGTTTTGAATGAAAAAATATGCAAAGACGACCATCAACTATTTTATCACCAATTTTNTATCTTCAGTACCGGATGCAAAGGAAGAAGGAAGCGTAACGGAAGCCAAACATCTTTTCTTGAACAATAGGCAAACTCACCCGTTCATTCGAATTGCCCACATGCCATTGTAATATAGAGGTACATAGACCAGATCTCCATTAAAGCGTTTTTTATCGATATTACCAAATGTTATTTCACCAGTATCTGAATGATTGTCTCTATAACGCAGACGTTTTAAGCATTTAAGAAAGTCCAATGCAGAATAGGACCGTCATTTTCTAAAGTCAAGGGTAAGTTCCGCGTTTTCAGAAAATGGAAGCAAAGAAAAAGAAATTTATTGACTCTCCCTATCTGTCTTCTTTGTATATTCATGTACACAAATTTCGACATACATAGTCGAAATGCACATCGTCAAGATATACATCTCGCAGCAGGATTTGCTTCTGAAACAAAATCCGAAAACGACATGAAAACCGATTTTTCACGTTTAGTTATCTTATACATTCGAGGTCAAAAGTTCGGAACGTAGAATCGCTAGGCTAT